ACCCCTTATTTAATTGATTTTGTATTTACATTGTATCATAGATCAAATTTATTCATTCAGTGTATGTTCACTTGTGTTAATATGTCTTTTGGTTGAGTTAAGCCATTTCAATTGATATTTTATAGTATGTCTTTCTATGTTGTGATGTTACACTATTGTTTCAGATAAGGGTGAAGGTTTGGTACCATTAAAACGTTTAAACCCGCTGCAATTGTTTACACTTGTCCTAAGTCAGGAATCTGATGTTCAGTAGTTGTCGTTTGTTGATGTGGTTCAAAATTGTTTCTCGTTTCTCGTTTTTTATATAAATTAGACCGTTTGTTTTCCTGTTTGAATGGTTTAACACCAGTTATTTTGGGGGCCCTTTACAGCTTGCTGTTCGGTGTGAGCCAAGGCTCCGTGTTGAAGACCGTACTGTGACCTATAATCGTTTACTTTTATAAATTGTGACTTGGATGGAGAGTGGTCTCATTGGCACTCATACCACATCTTATATCTATTGATCACATTCGCCCTTCTCGTCGTTCGTGACTAATCTTATCCAATGGAATTGCCGCGATCTTAAAATAAATATTCATGAGTTAACACTTTTAGTTCAGTCTTCTTTGCCTGTTGTATTTTGTCTTCAAGAAACTCACTTAAAAGAAAGTAACAATTTCTCTTTAAAGGGATATACCATGTATACTAGTAGTACTTTTTCAAAGGAAGATGAACGTTCTACTGGAGGATCAGCAGTTGTTGTGAAGTTGACGTCATTCATAGTACGGTCTAACTCACCACAGACCTGCATGCAGTTGCTGTTTGTTTATCTTTGGACAAACCAATTAATTTATGTTCAATTTATATTCCTCCTAGTTCTACAATTGATAAATCAAAACTTAAAAATTAAACTGAACTGTTACACTCACCTTATATTCTGATGGGGGATTTCTAAGCATATAATCCAATATGGGTAGCAAATCCTTGAATGACAAGGACAAAATTATATAAGACTTTGTGTCTCAAGAAGCCTTGTGCATTTTTAATGATGGATCTGATACTTATCTTCATCCTGGAAACGGTGCCTATTGTTCTATTGATTTAACTATATGCGATCCTTCTCTTCTACTAGATTTTTCACGGCGTGTACACAATGATCTTTGTGGAAGTGATCACTTTCCAATAGTACTTGAGCATCTCTTTACTTCTGCTCAACAGATTCCCTCGTTGGAAACTGGACAAGGCTGATTGATCTTTGTTTGAGACTCTGTGTGCAGATGAATTACATTCGAAGATGTATGACGCTGTTAACGATCCAACTCTAACTTTTAATACAATTTTAACGTCAATCACTGACAGAACAATTCCTAAGACCTTTGCAAATCCGAAAAATCCCACTAAACCATGGTTTTATGACGACTGTGGTCAATACATAAATAACCTTAAAACATTGTTGTGACGTCATTCTAATGTTGTTCTTTACTTAAGTGATTACAGTCATTTACCTGGAAGAAACCATTATGTTACCTTCAACTGTCCAATATTTTAAGAATAACCCTCCTCTTTCTTAAAAATATTGGACAGCTTAAGGTAGCATAATTGATACTTACAGGTAAATGATAATTCAAAATTGAAAAAATCAATCAATTCCCACAATTGTTTTCTTCGTGTGAAAAAAATGACAATAACACAAAAATATTTTTTATTAAAGTCACCTTCCATTACAATAATTTTGGCACTCATCAAGACGGTTGAGAAACAAATCACTTTCAAATTGATTTTTAACACTGCCAATACTTATTTCATAGCCATTTTTCTCATGTTTTGGTTGTATCCTTTTGCACCAATTTGGTTGATAATGCTCGTTGTAAGTTTTGATTTTGTTGCTTTGAAATGTATTTCTTTTTTCAAAAGATTTGTCCTTGTCCGTCTTTGGATATCATAATCGAACTCCGGTGTTGCTCTTTTTCTTCCTAACATCATATTCAGCTACAATTAAAATGAAAAATAAAAATTAAATAGTGCTTCTAACGCTTGATATATCATGCCGCAATACAAGGACCAGAAGTAAAATGATTGTATAATGATAATCAAGAGAAAATCGTTCATCTGAAGTAAGTGTTTTACAAAGTGTTGATGTGCAAGACACATATTGTTCCTTGGCCAAAATAGCTAATCAAGAACTTGATTAACAACCTAAACCCAAAACATGTGTACAAAGTGCAAATCGAGACCTTACTTCATAAACTACGGGACTACAATAGTTTTTTTTTATAATTTTCAGATGTCGGCGTTTATTAACAAGTTTTTTTAAATCTGATATTATTACTTGAATATGAATATAATGCAACACATCGCTTATCAACAACGATGAATATGGGAAGCAGAATAAAGGAACACGTTCCCGCAGGTTATATGTTAAACAAATCAATCATCATGTGTCATATTCGCACTTTGTTCGTAGTGATCGTTATTTTTAAACCGATGTACTATCTTGAAATTAAATAAACGTAGGTGCTAGATTTAATAATATGTTTGATAAATAAGTTTTAGAAAGTTTGTGATTGTGTTATATAAATTTGAACATAAAACCCTTTACTGCATCGAATTGATTGAAAATGGGGGGATAAATAAAAATATTTGTCTTGTATATATACAATGTAATATAACACCAAAATACTAATTCAATTGCTTCTTTCCAAACAGTTTCAGACACTTCACTTTAGTTTAGATCTCAGAGGTAAAATTGATTGAGGTCAATTATTATACATTTAGCACAGAACAAAGATATGATCACCTGTTTTGCAAAGGGAAATCGAGAGACAAAATTATGTTTCGGTAACATTAAAAACAACCCACAAGGGACATCAAATCAATACAAATAAACAAAAAAAGAGCACCACGACCTTGCAGAAAAAAAAACAGAAAAAGGGGGGATATTCGGGTTTGGGTAAACAATAACCGTCTCTTGCAAGACAACCACCGAGTCAAGATAAATTTTGGTGAACAAAGAAGGAAGGAGGGGGCCTGCGTCATACTGCCAACATGTAGGATAATGTAAATAAAATTAATTCACAAAACAATTTACACACTTTATAAAAATAAATCTAAACACAAGTTTGTATTTGTTTGGGTTTTTTTTTTACCTTTTTTGACGCCTTAAACAATGTTTTAAGTAAGATATAAGCCTCTAACAGTCCATTAAGTAAAATATTGGACACAGGTCTTCGGTCTGCGGCCTCAGACCTGTCCAATATTTAACAGAATGGACTGTTATCGGCTTATATGATTTACGTAAACAAATCTGAAATACGGTTTAATAAACAGCCTTCTTCGGAAAACCTTAGCGATTTCGTATTTTTCGTGCAAAGGCACAACGGATATGCAAACAAGCTCGGCGTTCTTCTTGGCAAAAGTTTGTCTCGGGAATGAAATCTCGCACTCCAATGACAAAAGTATGGAACTTGATTCAAATGATCAAAAAAGGAAGGCAATACTTTATGAACATCGGAAAAAGATATTGCCAACAAGCTAGGAGAAACTTTTTCGAAATCTTTTTCCTCTGACAATTGCAAAGAAGATTTTAAGAAATTTAAAAAGAAAAAAGAAAATTGAACTTTAAATCGAAAAATGGAGAAAATTACAATAAACTCTTTTCGTTGGAAGAACTTAAAACATCTTTATATAAAGCAGGCCCATGATACAGCTTGTGGTCCTGATAATATCCGCTATCAACTGTTAAAACACTTAATTACCAGATACCTCGCTTGAAGTTTTTCATTTCGAATTTTCGCTCTAACAGAGAGAGTAAATTCAACCATGTCTGATCTTTATGATCAGGAAATGGGTGTCTCTCAGGTGAGTATTTTTCTGTAATATTGTTCAGTTTGAAAATTAACAGTCATGTTGAAGTTTTAAAAAGCAATATGGAAGGTTCTGTGCTGTGTACGTGATGATTTCTTAATCTGTTACAGAGGCCAAAATATGAGTGATATAGAACGTAAATTACAATAAAGTTTTGGTAGAATTGAAAAATGGGCTTCTGAAAATGGTTATAAATTTTCTGCTTCAAAAACCGTCGGGATGCATTTCTGCGACAAACGGAAATTGCATCTTGATCCTTTACTTAAACGGAAACCAGATTAAAATGGTTGATGAAAACAAATAGAAATTCTAGTTACTGTGCATAACCAAGGTCTTCGTCTATGTCTTTGTGCCTTTAAAATAACCTCGCCAGTTGAGTTTATATGTAGACGCCGGCGAGCTTTCACTCTCTCATAGACGTTTGAAGCTTGATCTTCAGTATGCTGTCAAGCTAAAAGCATTTCCAGACAACCCTGCCTACAACTGTGTTTTCAATCCCATTTATGAAAATAAAATTCATCCATTAGGCATTCTTTTAAAACCACTTTTAACTACCTTTGACTTGAAATCTGTTGACTCAGTTCAAACTTGAAAATGTCCCCAAATCAAATCCTCTTTTGATTTAGCAAAATTTTGCTGAAATAAAGTCCAGCAAATCTGATTTTTCAACTGTTTATACTGATGGATCGAGGGATAGAGACAGGGTGTCGTCTGTTGCTGTCTTTGTTGCTCTTTGCTTGCCTCCTGCTGCATCCATCTTCACTGCATAACCTAAGGCAATAATTCTGGCCTTGCAGTTTTTTGCTACTTCTGAGAAGTTTGTCATATGTTTGGATTTGCTATCATGTCTTCGAGCAATATAAAATACCAAAATTAAAAACCAGTTAATTCTAAAAATCCTTTACGTAATGAGACATTTGAAAATTCTCAATAAAGAAATTATATTTCTATGGGTGTCAAGTCATACCGGCGTCCACGGAAACACAGTTTTAGACCAGGAAGCAAAGAATGTCCTAAACGAACCAATATCTAAATGTGAAATACCATATACTGATTTTAAATCTTATATACAATATATGGGAAAATGCTTGGAGTTAGAGGAACGACAATTAATTGCATTAATTTAAACCAAATATATGCAAAACTTCAAACAACAGTTACAATATTTATCTTTATTTGATAAATAAACTTCAAGATGCAGTGCTTCACATCATTTGCTGCAGCTGAATGAGATCAGAAAAGTGTGTGTTTAATATTCACATATTTCATCTATTGTTTTTATATCATTCATATCACTGTCTACAATAATGTACATACACAACAATGGCATGAAAACAAGCACGGGCGAGATGGACAAATGCATTTACATGTACAAGGGCAAATGTAAGTTTGAATTTGAGGGTCTATCAAATATTCAGTTTCCTCTTTCTGGAAAACTTCTATGGTCTTTTCCCGCTTGTTTTTTACTTCTTCCTCAATTGTTTTGAAAAGTACATTTATGTTGTGTCCTGTCTTTGCTGATGTTTCTATGAAAAAGTCTGTCTTCAGATATTTGTGTTTATTATAACCTTCGTCTGTGGTCACCTCTTCTTTGTGTGTTTCGTCTATTTTGTTTCCCAACAGAACAACAACTACCTTCTCTGAATCTATATGTTGTATAATGATTTTGTGGAAATCGTCAATCTTACCGAAACTTTGTCTATAAGTCTTGTCGTAAACAAGAACAATTACGTTACATGTGGCACATAACGCTATAACTGTCGCCCTATGAAATAGAAAACAAAACTTAGGAAAATACCACTTAAAGTTTGCTGTAGCTTATAAAATGAACACATCAAAATAACATTGACATTTCACATTCATACATTTTGCATGTAACATGATATTTACTATGCATTTTCTAATTGGCGAATCAGTGGAAAATTTCAATAAAAAAATAACTACATACTTCAGCATTCTTGATTACTAATGCATGAAGTAAGGACAAAAGACATGAACAGATCTCATTCCAACAATATATTTTTTAACTGAATCAAATCGTTAGTTTATGGGTAAACCAGGTCGACATCAGCATTTCATTTTAAAGGTTTATCTTATATGCATATCACCATCCCTTGTCCCTCTTCATTGGTACCCCACCTCTTCCTCACCTTTCAGCGCTTTCAAGAAAAATGTTTGTCGATTACGTGTTGCAGTGTATGAAATCCGTTTGAAATACGATTTTTTTCAATTTTAAACATCTTTTATTCATAATCACCTGTTACATAAACCCTTAATTATCCAGAGAAGCAACTTCGGGGTCCCCTCATTGTTACAGAATCTCATTTGTCGGGGGAAATGCAATGCGACATAAAAAAAAACTCCCATTATAAATAATCATATTTATATTATATCTATATATTTATACATCAAACCATATGTAATTATTTAGACAGTACGGTTTTAATCAATTCAGTTGCTAAAATAAGGGAACAGGCCTATTGCATTTATATTTCAAATACGGGAAAAACTACTGATTGCAGTCTGTGTCGCCTATGCAGTCTTTGAAGTTTGTGCTGGGTGTACATGAATGGGATGCCAGTCTAACTTCTTAAGTGTAAGCTGTGAGTAGTGATATATTTCTCTGCATGTTTCGGGTGATTTTGCGGCTTGATTTGTAACAAATGTTCGGTTATTTTGAAAGAATTCAATCAGTAATATTTCAGAAAATGCAAACGACTGATAAATTTGTTTTCCGATTTTCAGTCATTGTTCAACGAACCAAATTTTTTGACAAATATAGAAATAAGGAGATGAGGTATGTATGATTGCCAATGAGACAACTATCCACCATAGTTCAAATAAAGTGGATGTAAACAATTACAGACAGCCGGGCGGCCTTCAACAATGAGAAAAACCGTATAGTCTCGACTGTCATACAAGTGATAGGTTAAGATAGCTATATAACCAGGTTTAATCCACCATTTTCTACATAAAGAAATGCCTGTACCGAGTCAGGAATATGACAGTTGTTTTCCAGTCGTTTGATGTGTTTGGGCTTTTGATTTTGCCATTTTATAAGGGACTTTCCGATTTGAATTTTCCTTGGAGTTTGGTATTTTTGTTATTTTACTTTCTTCTATAAAAGGCCGCGACATGATAAATATGAAACAATTTAACTGAGAAAACTAGCAGCCTAATTTATAACAAAACAATTTACGGAAAACAAATATGACAGACGTCAACCAACGACAACCACTGAACTACAGGCTCCTGACTTGGGACAGGCAGATAAAGAATATGGCGGGGTTAAACATGTTTGTGAGCACTCAACCCTCCCCTAACCTGGGACAGTGGTGTAACAGCACGACATAAGAAAACAAACTATAAAATTCAAGTGGAAAAAGACTTAACTCATCAGATCGATACAAAGCAGAAAAACATCAAACATAAACACAGACCGGACGTTTCAGGTAGTTATCCATCCCTCATCCCTAACAACAAAAAGGACACTAAGTACAGATCTAAGAGTACTCGCAGTTACTGACAGCTAGTTCAAAGCCAATAACAACTAATAAAAAAAAATCATGTATCTAAGACTAAAATATCAATCAGTACACATCCAACATCAAAATGAATTGAGTGTAAAGACGTAATTAACAGTCAGAGAAAAAGATGACCTTGTGCAATGCCAAAATAAAGGTATCGAAAGATTGTAGTAACTTTAAAATGCATATGTGTATAACAAAACTATTTAGTATGATTTTAATTTAAGAAAACAACATCACCGTAAAATTTTTAGCTATTCCGTCTGAAATCAGTTTTTTACAGGTACAGCCAAACTTGCAAACCAAATCTTTGTATCTATGGAAGTATTTAGTAAAGGTTTTAAGTAATTTGTGGTAACGAAATCCATGACTTAATAATTTACCAGTGATACATAGATTACGCTCATTTAAATCCAAAACGTCACTTCATACGGGCATTACAAACGAGTTGGGATATATAAACACCGTAAGATGGTACCAGAGGAATATCACCGTCCAAAAAAGAAAAATAAACAAAAAAAGGAAAAGAACAATAGGGAAATAGAAATCATCCCTTCCGTCGTAAATTTTTTTGTAGAGTTTCTGGTGTTCTGATGTAAAACTGAAATGACTTATTCTAGGAAAGGACACTTATTGCTGTTAATAAAGTCCGTTTACTTTAACTTCACCTCAAAATCTAGATAATAAGGTTATATTGTCAATAATTCAACTATCAACCAAATCACTTTAAAATGACTGACTTATATAATCAATTTCTCATCAATGAAAATAGAGTTTACCTATAGGTCTTCTGTAAAACAGCTATGATATGGACACCACCAACATAACTTAAAGGCGCATGTGGTGAGTGAAATATGTCTAAAAGACATATTCAGAAATGTAAAAACAAATTTCAGTAAAGCATTATTTACAATGTTGTTATTTCTAAATTGAAATATAAACGTAACTTGAACGGATATAAATACTTATTTTAAGTCGAAAACTCTAGTGAAGTGAAGTAATTCATAATGATTCAATTACAAAATTCATTCAGGTAAATTCTTAGTTCATAGACTTGTAAAGTCACATAAAAGTAAGATACCTAGAAGTCGGGGGCTTTTTTTTAACCCGTTTGGTTTGTATAGACGTATAAACGTATACCGAAGATCATATTTTTTTATAACTACATATAAACCTAAATATATTAAAATCAGTGTTTTTCAGGTTATATATTTGACAGAAAAAAAACCATAGCAAATTATCTCACTCAGTCTTGCTTTCGCTATATTTGTTTTATAAAAAAAATCTGGGGCCTGTTTATCCAATGTGTCCTAAATCGGTCTATATCATGAAGTTGCAATGTATAACCATCTTAAGATACCTAAATTGGTTTCCGAAACTTGGGACAATTTCTAGGAAAAAATCCTAAATAGCGGCACGTTTGATAAACCCATTTAGAACAAAGATATGTCCTAATATGGTATTAAGACATGTCTAATCCTAAGAATGCTTCGATAAACAGGCCCCTGATACCCGTCTTAGAGTTATTAGACAACATATTTTTCTAGAAGAAATAGGTATAATTCATGATTCATATCCTTGTTCATTTATGATAACAAGATGTAATATCGTAGCTGTCCCTTAAAATATCCATATAGTTTTCCTAAAATTCATTTCGAAGAAAAACAGAACAACATGATGTCATGAAATGGCATGATTCAAAATAGAGGGCCGGGTACATTTTTAGGCTTAATGACAACATACAAAACAATATGGCAGCTAGCGATCAATGACAGCCACTGAATTACAGACTTCTGACTTATGAAAGGCAAACACTGAATGTGGCGGGATTTAACATGTTTGAGAGAGTTGAACCAGCATCATAACCTGGAACAGTAGGGTTACAGCACAACATAAGAAAAAACCGTAAAGATTCGTTGGCTCATCAGATTGGAAAGAAGCACAAAAAGGACTAACAAATAGTTAAAAGACACCGATCAAAGAAGTTCAATATGATTTGACTATCGGCGTCGAAATTAATTCAGCTTCATAACATTTTTTCCATATATCGATGATAGAGAATAGTTAAACATGCTGAAAACGATAGATGATTTTTTGATGGCTGTCTGATATACTTTTCGGATAAATTATGTTTCGTTTATGCTGTAAACAAAAACAGATCCAAAAAGTAAAATCACAAAAATACTGAACCCCGAGGAAAATTCAAAACGGAAAGTCCCTAATCAAATGGCAAAATCAAAAGCTCAAACACATCAAACGAATGGATAACAGCTGTCATATTTCTGACTTGGTACAGGCATTTTCTATTCTAAGAGGTTCGGAATAATTTGAATATCGGCTCCGGATTTTTTCAGCTTCTTAACCTTTTTTTCCATATATTGATGAGAGATGATACACCTTATTGCTATTTAGTCCAATCCGGAAAAAACAGTCACTTAGACAACTTCCTGTTTGGGTCAGGTGACGAAAGAAGAAAGGTCATCAGTAATGAGCTGAGGGAGGAAAACGTGTAGAAAGTGAACATTTTGAAATTTGTATAGTTTATGGTCCAATTCTTTAAACATAAATTGAAGTAAGAAAACTGGTTTGTTTGAAGTATTTACAATGGTTTAAACATAACTCTTTGAAAAAATTTAAGCACAGTTCATTGTTTAAACAGGGCCCCAGATAGACTCAACTGGTTTGAAAGAGTTGTGTAATTTTAGAACTTTTCCGGATTGGAATAAATAGCGACAGATGATTTCTGGATGACTTTTTATTCGGCAATACTCCAACTTTCTCTCGGTGAATATAATAAAAGAATAACATGCACAACAAGAATATTAGAGATTTACAATAAATGTCGGACTCGGAATTCGAGTACGGCTAAGAGTTCCTATCATACAGGTTAACAATAGGGGCGATCTCAAATTTTATTGAGGCTTAGTAATTTAACCATGCTTAATTTCTGTTTCGGAATTGGATTCTTTAATAGGGATATGATTAACTTATTTAAATGGAGGATTCAGCATCTTTTTTCCAATGATTCGATTTTTGTTGGGGGAAGGCGTTACTTTGTTCACGCACGCACGCTCTTTTTTCAGAATCTCACAACATTCATTATATGTTAAAAACTTACAAACATATTTGTTTTGGTTCCTCTCATCAAAATATTTTTGTCAGGAATATGACAATTGTTTTCCATTCGTTTGATGTGTTTAAATTTTGCCATTTGATAAGGGACTTTCCGTTTTCAACTTTCCTTGAAATTTGGTATTTTCTAACTATCATCTTTTTTGCATTATTTTAAACGGCATTTTTTCAAATTTAAAAAAAAACCGCTAAGTTGACCGTTGAAATTATTTGGAATATCCAATTATATTGAATTACAACCATACACCTGATAAAGATAGTTCCAACTATAATTCAGCTTACTAGTTAACTAAGTGTAGTTAACGATATGTTGATACTATGTCAATTCCTCCCTCTCCAATCAAGAACACTTGAGAGTAACGTAATGTATGATTAACAAAACAATACATGTTCTGTTCAGAAGCGACGAAATTGGGTTAAAAGAATATGGTTCAAAAGTGAATGAATTTCTTTGGCTATTCAAAACCTTCCTTCATCGATCAAAATATATTCACTCGGGTATAAAATATATACAAACTGTTATCATGTCTAGACTAATTATTCGAAATGAATAATATGGTGTTGTTACTTGTTTGATTTAATAGATAGCACGAAAAAAAGAGTATAAGAAACTCATCAATCCCATAACGAAATACCAAGTCTCCGTTGAACATGTTTTTAGCGAATATTGGACATTGCATGACATGTCATAAGCCAATTACTATATGTTGTTGTACGATTGCATTATAGTCAAAATTAGATAAATACTATAATAAACTCTGGGTCGGGTCGGAGTCATACACTTATTGTAAATCTCTAATAGTAAATATTATGTTACGATTGTTTGAAATACATTTTCTATATAAGGTAAATATTTGCACTTACTCACGTGTCTCTCCTGCCATGTCATGTATGTAAACTCTTAAACTCCCAACAGAAGTGGCATTTATGATATGCGTCTCCACACTCTCTGTTGCATACAAATCAGGATTGTAATTTCCAGACTCATAGGTAGCAATGATAGAGCTCTTACCAACTGCTTTCTCTCCAATAAAACTGATATATATAGGATCACACATTTTAATTTTTCATAAAAACATCCTTGTACATGATAAACTTAAAACTGATAAGCATGCGCATTTGTTTTGTGTCAGCTATATTTAGAGAGGTATAAATAATCTACATTATTTTATATTATTTGTATGAACAGGCATAAAAAGAACATATCAGGAAGGATTTGGACACAATAAACTGTTGGGTATACATCAATGAAACAGTATTCAAACAATTCGAAAAACAATGCCTTTCGAAGTTAAAGTAGTAAATATCTACAACTTATGTCAAACTCTAAATCGCCCGCATCCTAGACTAGATGTGAATAATAAATAGATATTGTCACAGCTATAGAATATGGTTTGTAAAGATTCCTGCTAAAACTATGGTTGATTGTAAAAAAATGTTCTGCAAGCTTCTGTAAAAAAAACTTACCCTCTAGTTGTCAATCACTATTACTATTATTGTTTTTAAATAATTCAAACGAGGGTCATATCGAACAGAAAGAGATATGTTCGAACCATTAAAGTAAAACACCAATGATGCTCAGATGTTGTACATATCGACAAATAAATTAAATTAAAAAACAACCACTCAAATACAATTTTTTAGTGAAATTATTTTTTTTCACAGTAGTTTACATTACTTAATGCCCATGTTTATACACATATTACTTTATCTCCAATGCTGAAAATATTATAAACATATTATTTGACTTTTCAAAACAGTTTTTTTTTACATTATATATATATATATATATTGAAATCATTTCAGGTCGAGCTCCTTTTGTTCAAATCTTCAATACTTCTACCGTGGTAGTTTATTTCATGTGTTTTATATTTTCGTTATAAATTGTTGATAATCATATAATTAGTTCCTGCCAAACCTCAAGTCATCGCATTTATTTTTTTGCATGTTTATGTTTATAAAATTTCAAAAATATTACATTCCATCTGCACGTTTCCTTTATTTAAGGCATCTTTGATAACTGTCAACATTTTTATTAGTTGTTTTGTATGTGTTGGTGTTGAATAGAATACAATACAATAATTTTATTGCTTGGTTTCTTGTTTCCTGATTTTATTTTCCTTTTTAGTCACAGACAGGTAAGCAGGTGTCACAGACAGGTATGCAAGTGTCACAAGTATTTATTATTGTTGTTGAAATTTCCAGTTGGTCATTAAATCTGTTATGTGTTGTTAAGGAATAACATACAAAACAAGACTAAAACCGTCAATAAAACTGCATTTTACGGTTTGAAGTAAACATCTTCAAAACAGCTAACTTGAATGTTAAGCAGTCTATATGTTGAATAAGTCAATAACATAAACGGTACCAATTTTTTCTGCACCAGATGCGCATTTCGACAATACATATCTCTTCAGTGATGCTCGAGGCCAAAATATTTGAAAATCCAAACCTTAGTAAAAAAAATGAAGAGCATATATGCCAAAATGGACAAAAATGTATAGCCAAAGCCGGGCAAGGAATCGGAGCTTTGCATGAGGGAGAAATATTACTTAATTTTAAATGCTACAACCCTCTTTGGGAATTAACAAAAGGTCTTAATGACCGAATGATGCTCCATAGACTGTTCGCACGAGAGTCGATCATCGCTCAGACTTTTCGGACCAGATCCTTATGGATTTGTTTCAGCTTTAATTTTGAGGCCAATATTCGAAAGTTTGCTCAACAACATGATATTATTAGTATAGAGTTTTGTTGGGTGTTCATGGTGGAGAGCGTAAAGACAGTGCCTGCTTCAATTTTTGGTAAAGAATTTTACGATGTTGTATCACCACCTGCTTCCATCCAAACACTTGCCCATCTCATCAACTGACACTTACCATTCACCTACAGAGAGGTTTCTTTGTTCTGGAACGAGCGCTTAATCACTCCCACATTAATACTTAGTCTGATTTTTAAGTATTTCTTACTTTTGTAGTAAATTATATTTTCCTTTACATGTTGTTTTCGCATTAGGGCCAGTTTATCGAAGCGTTCGAAGGACTAAGACATCTTAGGATGCTCTAGGACATATCTCTGTCCAATATTGGTTTATCAGACTTGTCATAATTGTTACAAGGTGTACGATAAAATGCTTATGAAATCACTGAATGTACGCATGACTCTATTCATAAAAAGAGTCCGTGTAACACCCATTAATGTACATTTTTTTATAGCACTGCTGGGGGGAAATTCGTACAAATTAAGTTGTCACTATTTACAAATAATGTGTTAATTGTTTTAGAAAACGTAGTTATATTTTTGTTTTTTCCGTCAAGTTTAAGTGCACAATTTTTGGGTAAATATTATTTATTACCTTTATAAAGATACTTATAATAAATTTAATTATCAATCTTATATTATCATATTTGGTTAAATTCGATACATTTTTTATTTTTAAATAACATTTCCTATTTTGTATTTCCTTTTATTTTTAACGCCAGAAATTGGGACAACATTTCGAAATCCTAGCTTAGATAGTCCTAAGATAGCTCCAACCTGCATGCTCAGAACTGCCGCAAGTAGGTCCTAATAATATCTTTCATGATTTATTCCTATGATATGTCTTCGGGCAGATACTAGGAGAGCTTCTATAAACAAGTCCCTTTACTTTGATGAATAAACAAATAAAACAACAGATAACGGCTTGTTCCTTTGACATATCCTTTGTATCCAGAACAATCACATCATACTCGTCCTTAGCCTTTCTTTCATATGGCAACTGTCTTCATGGCCGTCATTATGTAAAATAAACAAATATTCGACAGTATTACTGCTTGTTTTGTGTTGAATGAATGTTTATAAAAGGACTTCCAAATAAATACAGTAGTCTAATGTTTGATTTTGTCAGTTTTATGGACTTCCCCTTATTGAATTTACCTTGGTGGTCGGTATTTTTGTTAACACTTCTTTATTCAACCGAGGTGCTAATTAGTGACGTAGTTCGGAGTATAAAATGATGCCTTAATATGTGTGAGCATGACATTAGCAAGTACATATGTTGAAATAGCAGATGGAGCCGTGGTTAGAAGCCTTAATAATCACATTTCTGACAATAGTGATTGTGTGTGTTATACTTGTTTGCTTTTGTTGTCGATTGGTATGTCAAAAGTTGCCTGAGGAAAGAGGATTCAGTTGTACTACCCCTACCAGAACAGCAGGTACGTTACATATAATAAATTATGTCATAGTTTGTTTTCATTTTTATCAATAGAAGGTAGTTCTGTAAATCAGATATTAGAGTTGATTTGACTTCCTTATGGCTACACAAATATGTCTTCTGATTTGATTTGGAAAAAAGAAGTTATCGACATTTAATGTATCTTTTTAATGCAAGACAAAGCACTCTGTCAATAGTATGAAATATGTATATTCTCAATTACATAAAAAAAACAATCATAAAAAAATGAAAACAGAAATCATTTTGATGTTAATTCAACATTCAGTAAAAGTTCAAATGATGATGAATCGTTCGCCGCCATCCACACACCCCATTCATATAAACAAGAAAAAACAAAAACAATTTCGAGTGTATGAAGAGCTAGAGTTAAAATTTTTAAGAACTAGGTTCTCTGAAACATCACTTGGACATGTTGCGTTAGTTTCAGTATCCATACAAACTACATTTAAGAGCATCTCACTCAATGAAAGTTTTTTTTTTTTTTTAATTAATCAATTTTATTGCACCTTTGCTGTTAACAATTTACTCAATCTACAGCTTCAATTAAGTATCCCTTTAAATTAGTTATTGAATATCTAGGGAAAGATATTCAATAAAGTATATCTATAAAGTAAGTTATATTAATACAGATCAATACATTAGAACAATTCCACATAATTTTTGTTTTTTTACCGGAATACGGTACGTTTCTTAACCTATACTGTATATGATTTTTTTATCAAAGCTTCACTGAACCGCGAAATTGATCTTTGATACTGATAGCATGACTCTTCAGTCGACAATAGAATTTTGAACTTAAAACTTTTTGTTTTGTTAACAACACTGAATTATATAAGAAGTCTTGGATGATGAGGTAAAAATGTTTTTTTTTCCACACATTATTTTTTAACAGTAAATGTTGATTTCTATGATAAAGCCGAAGATCGAAAGTTGATCGAAAGTACACGTGGTCTTCAAATTATACATGTTTGCAGTAACGTTGCATTGTGTTGTGTATTCTGCTCGCTCTCCTGCTGATTATAATTTTGCATTGTGAACAGGAATAAACATATTTAATAACAATTCTAATTCAGTGTAGCTGTAATAAATTATAAAAGAGTAAAATTGCGAATTTCAGTTAATGCACACCAATTGACTGGACACATGTGCAGTCATGTATTAATGAGGTCACAGCTAAGACTTGTATCTAATAATTGTCATTTCATTTAAAGGAATTCGAAATATTCCCTTGTTTTAAGTATTATTTTCTTGTTTTTTTTGCTTCTGATTTTATTTATGTTAATAATGTCCCAGATTTCATTTTTGAAGATTTTGAAGATATCAATGACCTTATCTTTCTTGTCAGACATATAATATGCTTTATAGATGGAAAAGAAAATTATAGTTAATAGATAGTTCATATCAAAATAAGCTTCATCATCAATTTTATAGCCAGTTACTAAACTTTCAAGACTAAGTATATGCTTATCAATTTTTAAAAATGCTAATAGCTGGTCAACTTTATGCCAATAATGAACATTATATGAACAGGAAAAAAAGAAGTGTTTATAATCATCATATTGCTTACAATAGAAGCACAAACCACTTGGTACTATTTTCCATTTATAAAGTAATTCATTACAGGCAATGAAAGTTAACAAAATGTTTTCAGGCCAACACATTCATTTTGTATTGAGATGTAAAATCTTATTCATTTTGAAATAATTGTTGAAGTACATGTATTAAAATAGTAGCGTTATTTCAAAGAAATGAAAATTTTAAAATTCATTTTACGAATTGCTTGTGCATGTTTAAATCAATTTTGCATTTTCGAGGTAAACAAATTATAGATATTGTGGGAGGACTCTAACTAAGCCTGAATTAAGTTCACAACAAGAT